TACTATATATATATATATATATATATATATATATATATAGAAAAAATCTTCCCAAGCAAAAAGCAACAGTAATCTCTCCACACCAGCATCCACCGTCTGTTCAAATTAATTTAAAATAACGGTTGAGATCTGCTCCAAAACCCAGCACGTGAAAGGCTATGATGGACTCAAAAGCTTCAAACCTATCAAAATTTTACTTTCTACCCTCTTTTGCTTTACTAACCTCTTTTCTCTCTCGTTCGCGATCTCTACTGCTCTGCGGAGGTCCCCTCTCTCCCGTGGCCCTCTCATCTCTCTACGCTGCTGCCCTCACTTACTGCTTTGCGGAGGTCCCCTCTCTCCCGTGGCCCTCTCATCTCTCTACGCTGCTGCCCTCACTCTCTCTGCCTAGCCACCCTCATGCCGTCTCCTCGCTCGCCCCTTTCTCTCAAGGCCTTTCTCTCTCACCAGCTGCTTTAGAGAGAGAACAAACCTTCTTCATGGAAGAAACCCAATATGTTTTAGTTCTCTCTCTATTACGACTTTGCATATCATTTTTCCTTTCGTCATTGATATATGGAACGCGAGCTCTCCATCTCTCAGCTTGCATTAATTCAATTTGTATTATTTTTAAGCTTGGTGTGGATTATTTTATATGCTCTTTTACCCAATTTTTTTTTGGTTAGTTCTCTCTCTATTACGATTTTGCATATCATTTTTCATTTCACTAGTGATATATGGAACGCGAGCTCTCCATCTCTCAGCTTGCATTAATTCAGTTTGTATCATTTTTAGGCTTGGTATGGATCTTTTGTTGTGTCCTTCTACCCAAATTGTTTTCTGAATTCAATCACAAAAACAGAGGAACATTGGTTCAATTGGATTTTATTACTTTCTTTTATCATTGATTCTGAAAGAAAACTGAATTAGATGGTTATAAATGGGTTTCATTGCACAATTTTTATTGTTTGGATCTATAATTTGAAAAAGTTGCAATAAATACAGCTGAATTCTCTAATAGAAAAAATAATGCCCGACTTTCAATTAAAATTTTAATACAATTAGTTGGTTTTATGTCATGCTTTTCTTCTCTATTTCACAATACAGTTTTTTCTTTTATTTTTTAAATAAATTTGGGTTTAGTATTCATTTCCCTGTTCTGTGATTTTTTTTGTTGAGAATTTGAATATGAGAAATGGAAATTTTGGTCATATTCATTTAATTTCTTCAGTCACCTCCGCGTATTTTATTTGTTCTCTTTTGGGGAAGTGGGTTCGTGTCCAATTGGTTAGTAAGATTGATAGAAGAGATTTGGGCATTATTCATCAAAATGCGGGGAGGGGTTCTTGGGTGTTTTCAGCTGATAGAGTTCTAAATTGTTTTTCAAGATGCTGAAATGTGAATGCAGCTGATGGCAGGCATCTAATTGTCAGCCACTTTATCACCAATTTTGGTCGTAATGGTCATAACACTTTATCACCAGTTTTGGTCGTAATGGTCATAACACTTTATCACCAGTTTTGGTCGTAATGGTCATAATTGAACCAAGATATGAACTTGGTTTTCTCCTCTTTTTTATGACAATGGTGAATTTTCCTGCATTTGAATCTAGGATTTGGGTGAAGTTCAGTCAAGAATCTGAAGAGATTATGTAGTTGCCCTTTGATTTTTTGTTTAACTTAAATTCTTAATAGACTGAAATCTAATTTCAGCTTCAACTTTGGGTTCCGGAGTTGAAGTTTGAAATGAAATCTTAGGGTTTTATGTTGCTTACTTTCTGTTAGTGGTGCAAATAGTTACACGCAAGATGAGCTTTTGTCTCAAGTATTGGAGGCTCTTCTTGTCATCTGAGGTCTTGTAGAACAGAAAACAAAATTGATAAGTGATTGCAATCGGTTATTGAATGTATCTCTTGGACAGTCTTATGCTTGAGAGTAGTGAAAACAAGCGCCATGTCATACGAGCCTGTATTTCTGGTTTGTAGATCCTTGGAGAAGAAAGAAAGGGACGAAAATCTCTAGTATGGGACAGATAAGCAGTAGTCTTTGTTTTCTTTGTTATAATTAATAGGATAGATAAGCAGTAGTCTTTGTTTTCTCTGTTATAATTAATGGGATAGATAAACAATAGTATTTGTTTTCTCTGAATTACTTTAGTATTCATTATTGTGTTATTTTTGCTAATTAACATTTGGTGTTATAATGTAGTAGGAGGACATCCACCGTAGCACAGTGCTCTTGAGGTATTCAGCTACCTATGAAAGTATTGTCCAATCCCATTAGAGGAGCCCCAGGAGAACAATGCGAATGATGATGTACTTGGGGACATTGGAGAGAGTAGCTCCCGATCGGAGGATTAGATCCCGACACAGCCCATTGCTACGGCAGAGCTAACGGAGGAGGTTGAACGGGCATAATATGCTTGTATCATGGATGCCTCAACATCAGCATCTCCCTCCTCTCCCCTAATCATTACTAATTCAAAAAATGGGAATGAGTGTGGTGCTCAGGCTATAGTGGATGAAGCTTGCCATGATTTTCCATCTGATGGGGACATAGTTGAAATAAATGGAGAAGGAGATCCATTACTTATAGATGCTGAGGCAGCCCTAGAAAGAGGTGTAAGTATCGAACTGGCAATAGGAATGACATTTACTGATAAAGATAAATCTTATGATTATTATAATAAGTACGCAAAATTGGTAGGGTTTGGTATAAGAAAGGGAATGACCATATAGAAACATGATGGAAGAATTAGTCAAATTTTAGAATGTTGTAAGCAAGGTTCTCGTAGTGAGATGTATGATGGGAATGAAAATGCTCGCCCCCAGACAAAATGTGGATGTCTGGCAAAGATCCGCATTAAAAATAATGAGAAGTATAGATGGGTTATTGTGAAGGTTGTAAAATAACATAATCATAGTCTCACAACGCCCAACAAGACTAAATTCATTCGCTCTCATTGAAAGATACCAAACACTATGAAAAAGGTGATTGATACATTGGAGTCTTTTATGACTAAGCCTAGTGTTATGATGGATTACCTTATTGAAGAGGCTGGTGGGGCAGAAAATGTCACTTTCATTGAGAACGACTTTGAGAATCACATAACTAGAAAAAGAAAACAACTAAAAGGGAAAGAGGGTAATATTGTTATAAATTGGTTGCATTCGAAGAATGAATTAGATCCTAATTTCTTTTATAGAGTTCGACTTTATGAGATGGGGAGGTTGTTTGGTGTTTTATGGGTTGATTCAAAGTGTAGATTGTCATACCAAATTTTTAATGGCGTGGTAACCTTTGACACCACGTACCAAACAAATGACTACAGTATGTCGTTTGGCCCAATCCTTAGAGTTAATCATAACGTGAACACAATTTTACCCAGATGTGCTCTCATATTCAATGAGACTATAGAAACCTCTATTTGGTTATTTGAGAACTGGTTAGAGGCAATGGGAGGCCGCCAACCAAATACAATTATTGACAACGGCTGCAGTCAAGATAGTTTTCCTGAATATTAATCATCATTATTGCAAGTGGCACATTATGGGAAAGTTTAAAACACATCTAAGCCATGTTAAGCATGCGCACCCATTATTCTTAGAGGTATTCAAGAAGTGTATTGCAGCCTACACAGTTGAGCAGTTTGAGGCTGATTGGTTGGCTATGATTCAGAAATATGATTTTTCAAGAGGAAAGTTGGCTCAAGTGGTTATATGGTTGTCGCACTCAATGGGTTGATGCGTACATAGGTGATAGGTTCACAGCCGGCATGAAAACCACACAACGAAGTGAGGGGTTTAATCATTATTTAAAGATGTATGTCACTTCTGGTACAGGTTTACAAAAATTCATGAATGCTATTGAAGAGTTGCAAAACAAGAAGTTCATCAAAGAAAAAGAGAGAGACTGTAAAGATCTTATATCTACACCTGTTCTAAAGACAACCTTTCTTATTGAGGAGTATGCAGCAAAGACATACACTCAAAAAGTATTTAGAAAGTCCCAAGAAGAGGAGGTAAGGTCTTCAAATTTCCTTAGCAAATTAATAGAAGGCAATGATGAATTCTGTCAAATATAAGGTGGAAGACATTGGTGGTGTGCCAATCCTTCGGACGGTTACATTCATTGAATCAGGGTAGAAGTGTACATACATATGTCAAATCTTCGAGCGTGTTGGGATCCCTTGTTCACATATGCTCAAACTGTTCAACATGAGGAATGTATTAAAGATCCCATCTAAATACATTTTGAGCCGTTGGACAATAGATTCAAAGAAGGGTGTCAAAGACAAATGTGGTGCTAGTAGTTCTACTATATCTAAATTTTCGAGTTTCATTCGACGTCATGAGTTTTATGATCTTGTGAGAAAAATTGTAAAGCCAGCATTAGAAAATGATGATCTATTAGAAAAAGTGAAGTTGGGTATCTCCAAGTTAGTTGAGGAGGTCAACGCAACAAGAGTGTCTTTGTCGAATACTTATGCGCCATCAGCCTCCACCCATTGCAATGCCGCTGAAGATGAAGTATGTGGTAGTAGCAAATCAGTTGATGCCTCCCCCCTTATACTCGATCCACCATATGCACGAGCAGTTGGATGACCAAGGACTAAAAGGATAAAACCTTCATGGGAGGAAGGGCCAAAATCTTCTACGCAAAAAAAAACAGTTGAAGGAAGGGCAACCCACTGGAAGAAAGTGTAAAGTTTGCAATAAGAGTGGACATGACAAACGTAACTGTCCCGTGAAGGTACGTGGGATGTAGAGCTACTAAGGACCTCGAGCCGAGTTGATTAATTTTTTGATTAATTTATGGGGAATGCAAAGGACTTGACTAATTTTTTGAATTTTGGAGACATGTAAATACCCTTTTTTGTAGTTGACTTTGGGGGTTATGTGAATATTCAATATTCATATAATTTTGTGGGCATGTAAAGGACGCCTCTATGGGGGCATGTAAAAGACCTCTTTGTGGGCATCTAAAGAACCTATTTGGTGACTTTTTTGTAACATATGTGTGACATTTATTTCTTTCCATGTATTTCATTAACATGTTCAATGTAGGTTTACTTGGATAATGAAATGCATTTATATCCCCACAGTTCTCACGTTATTTTATTTTTTATGTTGAGCGTTTGATCCATTCTCACCTTTTACCACACCAGAGGGCATACAGAAAAAAAAAACCAGAGAATTTCATTCACAAAAGATTGTGTGCTCCATTGTAGCTGAGGACCATATATATATATATATATATATATATATATATATATATATATATATATATATATACTCTCTCTCTCTCTCTCTCTACTNTTGTATGTCTATAACTAAATAAAACTAAATAACTAATAA